CAACCTTTTCAACTCTTAATCATTCTTAAAATATTTATATCATCATTTCTGATTCAAGGGAGAATTAGAGATATGATCAGAAGTATATCCATTGACTAATAAACATGTACATGTATATTGTGTTTTTTAAGTCATTAATGTTTGTTTGTTGTTAAATGTCCCTCTTGGGAATTTTTCACTCATACGGAGACACCACCACTTAAAAATAATGAAGACATACAAGTCGGATTTGAGGTTAACATTCATTTTAGGAATTTTCAACAATTAAGACGTAAAGAGATAACTCCTTCTCCTTGCCCCTTCCCCTTCCCAGACCCCTGTTTGTTCATGTATGCAAACTAGTCTAATACTTTGGTTTGACATAAAAAAAATGTGAATATATACAAATAGTTTAATGGTTCATCTCTTTGAATGATTTTCATTCCTAATTCTAGGAGGGTACATGGGTTGACCCAAATTCATGAATGAAATGTCAAGTAATCTTATCACTGTTACACTTTTATTTAATTTGATGTAGTCATATTATGAACATTTCCAGTTCATTAAGAGAGTGGGGATGACCTCCAGGGGTTCATAACCTTAAACCATTAGATGTACATGACAAAATAACACAAGAAACAAAATTATGTATAGTCAAATGGAAAAGTTTTCTACTATTTAGGAGTCACATGATCATTTGTCATTTCAGGGACAGGGAGCGGCTAGGGAGATTGGAACCCCCCCCCCCCGGAATTTGCAGAGTTATTTAAATAGGACTATATATACTGATTTACAGAAGCAAATAAAAAATGACTTTGGATGCCCTCCCCCTTTAAAAACATGGATCCCACCATCATTGTTTTTATTTTCTTTGTTTGTTTGTTTGTTTGTTTTTTTTTTTGGCTCCTCAGGAAATTCTGGGCTGGTATTTTTTTTGGACCGAGGTGTGGACCCCCCCTCCCCTCCCCCCAGAAAAAAATTCCCGGATCTGTGCCTGTAACTGAATGTAATGTCGACAACGGGAGATAACTCTTCAGAATGTGAAATTCGTCTATTGTGGCATCCGATGATCCACTCTCTACCATCGGCTCATACATTCAGGTCTGAGAGAGAAACGAACGACAACTCTGCATAGGAGATTGCCGATGATCTTTGATCCTTTTTAAACTTTAACCTAACCATTTGCATTTTGGTTTATTTTACCCCAATCTATACTTAAACTTGTACTTACCGACTGTCATAGGTCCTGTCAACTTCATGAAATATAATCCAATTAAAACACAAAATGAATTAATTTCCACTGATATACATGTAACACTGCACCATGTCACATGGCATGTGCAATCTAAAAATGATAATGGTAAAACTAGTACTAGTACTGGTAGGTGACGCAAGCCCAATGTGATGTAGAAATTTTCAAAAAGGTGTTCACATACATGTACAGTACAAGAACAAATTTTAAATTATCATAACAAACGATGTTTTAACATAACTTTGCCATCTAGGCCTATTTCCAAAAACAGGCAAATTGTGTGTGTGTGTTGGGGGGGGGGGGGGTGACAAAATTGATTGGGTATGGCTTTTCAAGGAGGTTTTTGCCTAATCAAATACTAAAAAAAGTTTGCACATTTTGATAAATTCATCAAAAACGCTTTGTACTAAAATACAGGTAAACTTCGTTATCTCGACATCGACGGGACCATCGGAAAATGTCGAGATATCCGAGGTGTCGAGATATCAGAGTTGAGACTTGACGTTCAAGATTTCACTGCATAACCAAACACATACATGTGTATAAGCTTATTATACGTACATGACTACAATATAGACTGTAGGTCAACTTATTTCAGCAATCCCTCTATTTTTATTAAAAATCTAAGAAGTTATTTTTAAAAATCTTATTTATAAAACCTGTTCTTTCTCTTTATCGAAATCGTTCTAAATTTTTGTAGTTTAAGTTTTCCATCCAGCATTCGCGTGTTACTTGCTTTTTTTGTCAGAACAGGATACGAAATGCGCTCTATAAATTTCGAACCGAACCATATAAACATGATAAAGTCGACATCCGAGATACGAAAACATATTAAATACGTAATTATTTTTTTTCTTATTTCATTCAGGAAGAATGTGCATTAATATTAATTTTTTAAGAGATTTGTGTATCTAAACTAACGTAGTGATATTACAGATGCATGAATTACGGATGATTCGGTTAATCGTGTCGTTAATCGGATTATTTCCTGTTGAATGCATTTTAACTACAAAATATTATTAGAACATCGTTTAATTCTTTAGTTTGAATTTATTCAATATGTCTATTATTCTTTGTAATTTAGCTATCTTTTTCAATTTTAAAAGTTATGTTAGGTTTCGACCTAAATAAACACCTGTAAATTTAAGCAGAATCGTGTAGATTTATCAGTGATATTACCCAAGCTGAACATTAAGCAATTAACGTCTCAAAGACGCCGAGGGGGCTTTGGATTCACCTACAAACACAGTCTATAGAATTAATTAAGCAGCGTGCAGTCAAAACATGGGTGTGAAAGGTGTGAATTTTTGACGACGTCGAGATACCCGGAGCCGTCCGTGCGTGACGAGCGACCCTATCTGACAAACAGTTAGGTTCAGTGGAGCAGAAAATGGCCGATGTCGACATATACCAGGTAAATTTTGCTCTTGGGACTGTGAATATACGTCGAGATAACCGGGGTTGTCGAGATTACCGAGGTCGACATATCAGAGTTTTTGCAAATCATTTATATAGTAAATACTGCCGGGACCGCGGACGGACGTCGACATATCCCAGGTTGTCGACATATCCGATGTCGAGATACCGAAGTTTATCTGTAATATTATTTGTTGTTGAGAAAATAAATTTAAAATTTCCAATTATGGGCCAAAAATTTATATCCCCCCCCCCCTTTATCAAAACCTAATTTACATCATTAATTAAATTCTGTTATTTCAGACTGGTAATGAATTAAGTATATGAAATGCGTATAAGAGGTTCATGGGTCACATGGTCACCTGAGCATTTTATGCTCGATTTGGCGAATACATGTACTGTGTAAATTATAGAATTATTTGGACTTTTTCCTTGGTAAGCCCAATATGAAGGAGTGTGCATTTAGAGGCAAACACCTTAGTGCGGGTATTACTGTCTCATGACAGCATCTAGTAATTAATAGTAACACAAAATGATGTTGAATATAAGTATGATCTTTTTGTTACTGCCCAAGCCTCAAGATAATATGCGAGTTCTCCCCATATATTTGGTTTTTGAAGCAAAAATTGAAAACGTAACAAGGACGACGATCATGCATTTGCTATATATACTTCATAAAATTTTCATCTTCAGTTTTCTGTTAACTACCCAGTAATCGTTAAATTTTTTTTTTTCAAAAATACTTAACAAGTAGGCTTTAATAATTACGCTCAAGACTACTCAGTATGCTGTCTAGTATAGGCATCTACTTTATAAAGAAAGACTTTAATTAATAATGAACAGGGTTCTCCATCATTTTACATTTAACTGTGGCGCAAGACTTACTTGAAGTGCTAATATTCGCGATCATTTTGCAACTGAATTTGCGAAGGAACCACGAAATAAATTGAAAAACACTGTGCCCCCATGAATCACTAGTTTAATACACAAATTAATTAATGGCATTAACTAATTGGAAAAATGATTGACAAATTCAGTAATAAAAATTTAATCAATAAAATATAGTGTAAAATAAAATTCGGATGTTTCCAAAATATATGTATACTGTGACAAAAGACCCACCCCCTTCCAAACTCATACGTACTTCTGAAAATCTGAAAATACATGTAATAGTAACAATAATTAGAACTTTCTAGCATTTAACCCTAATTTAAAAAATAATATTGTTTACCTGCCTTCTTCATTAAAGGTCAGACGAAATTCTGGTAGGTCACCAGTCATATTTACATTTAGTCTATATATTTGCAATTATCAGTCTGAGGTACATGTATCTTAAAACTTGTGAATTGAAATAATTAAAAAGAGTTTAAAGTCATCTAATCAAATTATATTTTGTGGATGTATTCATTATTTGTTAATTTTTCAACATTACAAAAATACATGAATATTTGCGATCGATACACGTACGATGTTTTGACTTCGTAGTGCCAATGCAATTTTAGAAACTTACATATAGTTATCTGTTAAACTATTAAAGCAATTAATTAACTGGTATTTTAAAATTCAGTTCTAATTATCATGAAGTGTGAAAAAATGGCTTGTCGCTTTTCATTCATGTGTCTAGCGAGGTCTGGAAGATAATTAATTGTAAAAGCCAAACAGTGGATCCTATAATTAGAGCACATTTATTTAACAGCTGAAACACGCCTTTACGGTGCATAATTAATTTGAGTAATTTTATATATTTATCTTACTGACGACGACGATCTTACTGTGGTGCTAATATTTTAACTGTGGCGGAACTGTGGCACTGATTTTTTAACTGTGGCGCTAGCGAATTAAACTGTGGCGGGGCCACCACGTTAAACAGCCCATGGAGAACCCTGATGAATCTTCACAATGCACAATCATTTGCAAAATTCGGCAAACATTTATGACGTCAACTTTAGCGCTCGTTTTCTCGATAACGTCACAATGCACATAAAGGTGGTTTTCGCTTGACGGTCATCATATTTTTATTACAATACCTATGGAACTGAGAACCTTGTCGCCAATATGGCGTCCATAGTCTTTTCCATCTTGATTTTGAGTGCTCTGGCTAGGCAATTCATGATGAAATATCTTACTAAAAGTTTTCCAGATTTATAAAACCAAATACCCTTACATTTTTTTTTAATTTGAAATGAGAAATATTTGAGGTAAGAGAACTTAAAGCTTTTTATAAAAGGACTGAGGTCTTTGTTATGATTTTCTGACACTAATTACAATTTGATTATCATTAAACTTTGATTAACTTTGTATTAAACCATATTAACTTTGTACACTTGAGTGGATCAAGGGCTAAAAAACTAACCTTGCCTACAACAACTACTCTAAATCCAAGTAAAATCTCTTCATAAGTCCCTACAACCACTTCCAAATCCATCTTTTCCCATGTGCTTTGTGAAAGACGTCATCGCTTTTGAGGTACCCAAATGTATAGTAGTAAAACCAATTCGATTCATCTCCGGACCATCAATCTTTTTTTTATTAATTAATGTAATACATTTACAGACATGAGAAGAATCTATCATGAGAAGAAATGACTAATAGAAAATGAAGTATTCATGTCCTTTAATGAATTTAAAAATGATTTTTATATATGTCACACGCGAAATATTTTCGATCGACTTGATAACAACAAGTGCGTACGCATCGAGATCGACGAAGAAGCCAGAAGGAAAAAGATTATTTAAAGAATGGCAGCTGCTTCAACGTCACTGTGGATGGGAGATGTTAGTATGATGTTTGAATTATTTGGTTAAAGATGCGTACAGGTTACATCGTGCAACATTTTCTTGCTTCAACTAGAAATGCCTTATCGTGTGACCAAAATTCGAATTTTCTCAGTTCTTTATGTCATGCCCTTCTTACGTCAAAATGTATTATTTTCTTGGAATACTTCCTTCATTTCTCATGCATTTTCAGTCGTTTTGAGATTATTACACTAAAACTTGTTAACTAAAGCTCACAATTGTTTTGCAAGCTTCTTTCATTTTTAGTATTACAAGTAATAACTGCAGAACTGTATGTTATGGTTTTATATTTTAGTCTTTGACCATACTGCTACAGATGTCATAATGCAAATATGGTGCAATTTACAGCGCAAGCTTTTCTGCTCACTTTAGGAATGTCTTTTGCCACTTTAGTTACAGCATTGGTCAATCAGCAGCCTTTCATTCCCTAATTCTCTAAATATTTCGAATATGTTGACCGAGCGAGCGCAGATACACCTTTTCAGTGTACTATCTACTACTTCAAACTGCATGTGACATTTGGTATGTCTGGATACTCTGATGTCACATGACATCGTATGTAAGTTGTATTACCAAACCGAATCCTGAACAGTGCTGATTTTAACAAAGAAAGTTTTTATTTACTATTTTTCTGCAACATATTCATCAAATCAAGGCGAGTTTATTTTTTTGTTGAACTTTTATTGTTGTGCGAGAACGTAGCTTAAACAAGCGATGCATTGTGGGCCCATAAATTACTGCGGAAAAAAAATCATTTGGATCAATGTGCAAGTCCGAATTTTCTCTTCACCCAGGCATTGTCGCTAGAGCTCGGAGTGTGAGCAGTGCTTTGTGCCGCTTCTGTGCTCGCTATAATCAATCTGTATATTTTATCCACCTCCTAACTCTTTCTAATTGTCTCTACAGACCAATAAACTCGCTTGTTGTGAATTTGTTTTCGGATGGCATAAAAATCACAACAAGCGAGTTTATTGGTGTGTAGAGATGACTAAAAGGGGTAAGGAGATGGATAAAATATACAGTTTGGTTATAGAATATGTCTAGATTTAGGGAATGAAATGTAGTTGATTGACAAATGCTGGAAAGTGACGAAATACATCCCCAAAGTGCGCAGAAAATCTTGCGCCATAAATTGCACAATATTTGCATTACAGGATCTGTAGTGTTATGGTCAAAGACTAAAACATAAAACCGTAACGCTACAGTTCTGCAGCTACATAAGTAAGAGCCTTGGTTAATGTTCTTACGCTCCTATATACCTTGGACTCTTACATCTTCTCATTTTCTTATGAGGTAGTTCCGACTGAGATTTAGTCAGAACATGTTATGCATGAAATAATTGTAAACAAGTAATTCTCGGTATCTACGTTGTTGCATGAGGTATAACAGTCACAAGAAATCATAAAATCTACTTAAATCAGTATGCATCAGTTCATTTATCAAAATCATCATTTCAAATTTTCACCAGAGGTACTTTCAATTTGACTTCACATTTATTTTGTGGATTGCTATACAGAAAACAAAAAATTCAGTTATTTCATATCAGAAAAAGTAGCTTCATTTCATCAGTATTTCTGCACTCTTTTCAGAATTTTAAATAGATGACTTGTTTTGATTTCTGCTCTGATTTTCAAATTAATGGATTGGTTGCTAATATGGGAGATTAACATTGTTTTATGCATATGATAACTTGAAAAGATAAAGTAATATTAGAATATTATGTTCAACAATGCAGTTGTTGGAATGAACAGATTTTATTGACAAAACTTTAACTCAAAGCTGTGTTCTGACCTCCCAACATGGTTTCTTCACTAAGGACATGCATTTGTTTTCAGTCCTATAAATGCTTGGGCATTCATCTCACAATTAATATAAAAACAAACACACTGTTTTCAAGTGTGAATTTGAGGGTTTGTGGAATTTTATCTTAATACAAAGTGCATTTTGTATAAATACAGTTGAACTTCGCTATTTTGAACACCAATATCTTGAATACCATGAATATGTCGAAGGGGTTTGAAAGTCCCAACCACTTATTCTTTAAGTTTAACCCTCAGTATCTCGATTCTTGGGATATCTCAAAGTTTTATCTTGGTCCCAGCCAGTTCAAGATAACAAAGTTTGACTCTATATTTTTAATCCACTTATTTATGAAAGATTTTTTTAGCCAAAAAAAAAGTTTACGCAAAATGATCAAATACACTCCCCTTTTAAATGAATACCAGTATTGTACTGTAAACCAACTTTTATTGGCGTGTGAGAAATATTTGCAAGTTTTGTGACCTGCATTTACTCACGAATATTAATCGCCGCAAACCATTTATTTTACTTTTTATTTGTAGAGAATGTTTCCTTAGTTGTGGATTGATTTTAAACTGATGAATCGTGAATAAAAGATGACGCGAATAATAGTTGGTTTACCGTATTTAAATTGCTAAAAAGCATAATTTTCAATAAAATACATTTAATATGATAATAAAGGTGTGCACAGTTCCCAAAGACACTGTGGGACGTCAATAGAAATAGTATAGAATTTATCCATTTTTAAGCCATGTCTTCTTAATTTTTGAAATTCAAATTTGAAGTTCTTGTGTTTGTTTTTAGTTGGACCCATACATGGATGAATCCTTTATCTCTATGGCCTTCAAACAAATGGGTGTTGCTGTTAAAGGAATAAAAGTCATCAAAAGCAAAACAACAGGGTACACATCAAATTCTTTACATTTGTAATGATAAATTTTCCCTATGTTGAAATATTTAAAAGAATTATGAATTACACTTTTGATAAAATTGTACATGTATCAAGAGTTTCACTGATCAAGCACTAATTTATTACTTACATATTATCCATTGTGTCATCTTTAGATTGCCTGCAGGTTACTGCTTCATTGATTTTCATGATCATGAAAATGCCCATCAGGCCATGCTGAAACTGAATGGAAAGAATATACCCAATAGCAGCCCTGTAAGTATTGTCTAGGGTAGGAGCCCAGAGCCAGACCTGGGCCAGCATAAAACTAAGTTATAGTCAAATCTATCCTTTTGATGACTTGTACAATGTTTTAAATTTCATTAGACAGGGACAATTTTCTAGTGTTGAAAACAGACTGGATAGCTTTTTGTTCCCACAGAGCAGACTGTTGATGGTTTTATGAAGGTAAAATGTGTCCTGCGGTATAGAAGACTTGCACATTTTATGATTGTTCAATAGGGTTGTGTAAAGAGATAGTTATTCCTTGTGTTGAATTTGTATTTTCTTTTCTTTTCAGCCAAGACGTTTCAAGTTAAATAGTGCCAGCTATGGAAAGGAACATCTATCAACGTATGTAATATATATATCCTATCACATTATATTCACAAGTAGGGTGAAAATTTGTTCTTTTTATAATATACATGTAGATGGATAAAAAACATTGTAATCTTCTTGAAAAGAAAAGTAAATACAATTTTCATCAACTGACATATCCAAATTAAATTGATTAGATGAAAGTAAGACACCTCATCTTGGGAGTACTACTAACAAACATCAGTATAAAAAGCATATTTATTTTTTTTCACAGGCCCGAGTTTTCCCTTTTTGTTGGTGACTTGACAGAAGAAGTAGATGACTACACATTGTACCAGGCTTTCTCTAGACGCTTTAGGTCTTGCAGATCTGCAAAAGGTAACCTAAGAATAGTAATAAAGATGAATGACCTTGACATTGATAGAGGCAATACTTTAAATAAAGTTATGAGAGGACAAAGGTTACTATTTACTTTGAAAGAGGTCTGATACTGATTTTCATGCTTTGTACTTTCAGTGGTTTTGGAGCCAGGTGGTAAAAGTAAGGGGTATGGATTTGTAAGGTTTACAGAGGAGACGGACCAACAGAGGGCGCTTATAGAGATGCAACACATGCAGGGAGTGGGGAAAAAGCCAATACGAGTTAGTCTAGCTACACCTAAAAGGTAGCGCCTATAAAGTCACTTCATGTACCTCATGTTATACTGCTATTTCAGGTCACCAAAATCACAGTCATTGAATGTTACATTTCTGAACTCTCCTTAGTTTGCCACAAAACATCATCTGATGATGGGAAATTAAGTTTCTCAGGGTTCTCACTAGGATTTTGCTAACTTGAGTCCCAGGACTCAAGATTTCTGAGAAGGTTGCGTCCCAGCTAAATTTGATGCGTCCCAGAATAATTATGTTGAGTCCCAACTAAATTATTGCAGTATCCCTCCATCCAAACATCAATATAAATCTTTATCATTTTATCAGTTTGTTTACGCAATATTAACATATTCAAGTATATAAACTGGTAATGCATTCAAGCCATATTCTAAAATACACGCGTAATCAATTGCCATAAAAATTAACTTGGTGTTTATAAAGCTAAAATTAACTGTTGCATAATCAACTAGTACCCGAAAGTTGACTGTATACAATCACAGGTGTCATGTGCAATGAGGCGTAACTAATCCTGTCGGTCGTCTGCACTGGGTGAAATTCACGAGATAATCAAGCCGCATTGTGTATACAAGCAGTAATTATGGTTTCTACATGTAGATAACACTCAAGATTCAAAAGTGTGTGTGTTTTTTTTTTAAAAAAAAAGCTGCAGTGTGTTTACAGCTGTCGGAGTTTGGCATGCGACATTATTATGACTATGGACTAATAAACATGAAGTATCTTAATTATGATCAATCCCTGTTTTAAAAAAAAAGAGAAATAAGTACAAGAAAAGTTATTTCTTGGATGAACTTTATGATAGTTACAGGAAGGTTTCGATTATATTTCTTTGACAAATCCCAACATCTAAATTCCCCGTTTTTGAAATTACCTGAATTTTCTCGCTAAAGAGGACGCATCCGATCATGAGTCTGCGGACGCATTGTTTTTAAGAACCTTGCGTCCCAAGTAATTTTGCTGCGTCTAGGATGCAGATTCTTGCGTTAATGAGAACCCTGTTTCTTCAAAATCAGGGCACTGCCTCTTTCCAAAGGGAGATAATTAAGGAAGAATTAAACTAGGATTGGGGTGATTTAAAAATCTTTTTCAGGCTCAGAAATGACAAAATTTAAGCAGAAGGTTTTTCATGTACAGCTGTAGTAAAAATCAATTGTTAAAATTGTTCCCTGCATGTTTCCTGGTGCCAGGATCCTATCTCAAAAGGTTCCAAAGTTTTGCTTTCAAACAAATATGAAACATTTTTAGAAATACTGGTATATGTTGCAACAAAACATGATTTAAAAAATATAATCTCATGAAGATTGAGGATTTGAAAATGTCCCTAATTAGTGTAATTACAAATTTGTCTAAACCATTGCACTTTGCACCAAGGTTCCAAAGTTTTGCTTTCAAACAAATATGAAACATTTTTAGAAATACTGGTATATGTTGCAACAAAACATGATTTGAAAAATATAATCTCATGAAGATTGAGGATTTGAAAATGTCCCTAATTAGTGTAATTACAAATTTGTCTAAACCATTGCACTTTGCACCAAGGTTCCAAAGTTTTGCTTTCAAAAAATATGAAACATTTTTAGAAATACTGGTATATGTTGCAACAAAACATGATTTGAAAAATATAATCTCATGAAGATTGAGGATTTGAAAATGTCCCTAATTAGTGTAATTACAAATTTGTCTAAACCATTGCACTTTGCACCAAGGTTCCAAAGTTTTGCTTTCAAACAAATATGAAACATTTTTAGAAATACTGGTATATGTTGCAACAAAACATGATTTGAAAAATATAATCTCATGAAGATTGAGGATTTGAAAATGTCCCTAATTAGTGTTATTACAAATGTGTCTTAACCATTGCACTTTGCACCAAGTGGGAATATTTTATTTTACATATCAATCAAGAAGAAAAACACATGCCCCCAAACAAAAAAAATTGGCACCTAATCATTAAGACCCACAAACCTCTTCTTTATTTAACTTTAAATGTCTTTGAGGGAATATTCTTTATTTTTCTGTAGGAAGTGAATAAATCTCTCATAAATATTTTATTTCTGGAGTTTGTTACAATGCATAGAGGATGACTGATTAACATTAAATGATATTATTTTACAGGCCCATGGGGCAAGATCCAAATGCAGCATACTATGGAAACTATTACGGCCAAAACTACTACAACAACCCCTATTATAACTATTACGGATATAACACATACAACCAGTACTATGATCAGTACGGAGGTTACGTAGGTGTCATTTATCACATGTAGTATAACTCATATAACTGATATCATAATCTTCAGTGTTATGAAGCATGCCTAGAAATTATTCTGGATAAGAAAATTCTACAAATGAAAGCTTTTTTTAATTTATGGAGTTTTAATTTGCACCTTGTATTAAAATGGAAAAAAGAGAAGAAATGATGATTTTGTGATGTCTGTTCTCTGTCTTGTAGAATAATTATTATGAAAATCAACAAGAAGAGGACTTAGAGGCTTTGGAAGGTATGATATTTAGGTTATTATTTTCACATCTATCGCTATTCATATTCCTAGCAAATGGACAAAACAGCAGTGCATGTTCATTGAGCCATTGTCAATTCAAATATAGGAAAAATTCAAATATAGGAAAAACATAGTACAAAGGCACAATGCCAGGCTTTAGCTAGATTTTATGGATGGGTGACCAGGTTAAGGTTTTAAGAATATAGTCATTCTAAAGTAATTGTAAGTCCTATTGTAACTAGGACTGTGTCAATATATTGATATATTGATACGTACCGATATTAAAGAATGTATCATATCAAAAAAATAACTTCCAGTATGTATTGAGCAGGCAGTTTTTCTTATATTCTGTGAAAAAGTTGGGACTTTCAATCATCAAAGATTATATTTAACTGTTTTGAATTAAAACTGATCAATAATGATATAACCATTAAGAAAATAGCACATCTTAAATAATTATTACAAAATACATAGATGACTTTATATTAACATGTTGATTTTACATTCATTAAAAGTTTGAATTTGAAGTGTAATTTGTAATGACATTGAGACAAGAACTTCAAAATGGGTTTACTTATAAAATACTTCATGCATTAAATGATGAATAAGACTTTTTTGATAGACTTGTTAAAGAATCCAATATATCGCATATCGCTTTATAAAATATTGTATCGTATTGTATCAAAATTTTTTGTTCAATACACAGCCCTAATTGTAACTAAACTTGAATGGATGAATTATCTAGGGATATACACTACCACACTTGCTTCCGATACTGGATCTGATCTACATTTCCCTGATGATTGAAAATGTTTCTTGAGCAAGTCCATTTGCAAGTGACCATAAACCCAATGGTGACCAAATGTGCATCTAAGGTGCACGCTAGCAAACTGCTTTGGATGCTGTATCTTACATACAAATTTGGGTCCATTCCCCAAGAAATAATAACCCTTATCATGACCAAACTTGCATTGATCATATGATGCATCTAGGGATGAACACTACAAACCTTGCTTCAGATGCTGCATCTGACTTACTGGATGATTGAACAGATTAACACATTGACATTTTTGGAGCAGGATGGTGACAACTTTCATGGATAATGCATCTAGGGATGCACACAACCAAATATCCTTCTGATCTATATTTTCCATGAGTGGGTTAGTATTTGGAGCAGGTCACTTCCTGCCCTATCTTGACCAAATTTGTGGATGATGCGTCTAGGGATGCACACTACTAGACTTGCTTTAGATGCTGCATCTGACCTAAATTACCTAGAAACCCTGGTAATTGAACATGTTAAATTTTTTGAGCAAGTCCTTTTCAAAATAACTTTAAGTCCTACCTTGGATTAAACCTGCATGGATGATGCATTTAGGGAGCACACTACCAATCTTGCAATGGATGCTTCATCTGACCTACATTTTCCAGATAATTAAATAATGAATGTTTTTGGAGCAGTTCTGTCTGTCAGTAAACCAAGTGTTGTCTGCTCCATGTCTGTAGAAACCCTTTGCTTGACAAACTTGGTACACTGGTACACTAAAAATTACCCCTTTTGATTATGTGGTCACTAGGAAAAAGGACAATCAACTTTAGACATAAGTAGAATTTGTAGGCACAATATTTTGGGAACCTTTTGCTTGACAGACATCAAACTTAGTACTAACCACTAAGGAGAGATAACCCCATTGGTTTTCAATTCACAAGGGGGGTGGTTATATATGTATCTAAAATATTTCTTATTTTGATTTTGTTGTCTTTTTACAATATGTCTTAGAGAATCATGTGCAGATTTAATGAATTATATAGAGGTTTGCTCTGAAAAACAAAGAATTGAAAAGGTATAGAAAGAATCTGTTGAACTACAATCATCAGCTTGTACACAGTAAGACCTGTTTCAGGGACCATTGTGATCATGTCAGAATGATGTCAGGCTTCTTGTACACTCTTAGCTTTTCCTATGAAATGAACCTATCTGAGCCAAAATTTGGTTTGTAGCATGTGAACATAAAGGGTCCCCTTTCACTAAGGGGGTTGGGGGCGGGGGGTTTAGGCCAAATCATTCACTTTATAATGAACATAGACAAACCACAAGCACTTGACGTTTTAAATCTTTCTCTTTATTGATTAAAATATCATACTATAATATAAATAACAACCTTGTTATTATTATAGTATGGGGATATTTTTATCAATAAAGAGAAAGGTTTAAAACGTCATGTATCTGTGAGACAAACAGGTCAATGTTTAAAGGTGTTATAAATTTTACTCTTGTACTTCTAATAATTTATTTGATAAGTGAGACACACAAAAATTGTGATTGGTTGCCATTATAAGGAGAGAACCAGTCAGATTCTACACAGTAAGATTCTATCGCAATAATAAAGAATTTAATTAAATAATGCAGACTTCCTCTGACTTGTATTGCAAAAAAATAGTTCAATTCATTATCACCTTTGTAGGTAATTCCTTGATTGGAAAAAGCTTACATGGGCATTATTAGGGCCCCGCAAGGATTTGCGGGTGCCCTATAGTAATCACTCTGTCTGTCTGTCATTCTTCCGTCCACAAATTTTCTGTTTTTTTTCCAATAACTTTTTTTGTAGTTGACCAATTAAGTTCAAATTTGGTATGTTGGTTGAATAGGCAGTAAGACATATTTTGATGCTAAGTTTGGTTCTCTATGTCATCCAGTTTGGAGCTGGGGTGGTGGGGTAGATTCCTTAACTTTACATTAGAATGAATGCCAGGGCAAAGAGAGATAACTGCTGAGAATGTTCCTATTGTAAACTATGAAAGCTGCAACTAGTCCCATGGGATTAATTAACTTTCCTCTTGAAGAAAATTCAAAGCATTATCTGTTTCTGTCAAATTGAGATTAATTAACACCTCTGTCTGCAAATGAAGTTTGTTTTGAAGTTAAGGTCAATTCTGAATGATGTTTACATTCTCAGAAATGTGGATTTTAATAATGTTCATACTTTATTTTGGTAAAATACACAATGAGTTATGATTTTATTGAATTCTAAAAACAAGATATACATAAAGATATGTTTTTTTCTTTATTTATTAGCTCTTCTGAGCCAAAGGCTCAAAGAGCTAATGCTATGGCCATTTGTGCGGTGTGCGGTGTGCGTAAACTTTTTAGAATATGGGCCATAACTCAAAAACCCCTTGGCCAATTATTGTCAAATTTGTCATAGGGTATCCTTGGCCCAAGGGCTTCCTTTTATACTAAAACTAGGGTTGTGACCCTTAAACAAGGGGAGATAATTAGGAAAATAAAAACAAAAGTACTGGTTGCTAAAAAATCTTCTTCTCAAGAACTACTGGGCAGATTATCACCAAACTTACACAAAAGGATAAAGATATGTTGTAGATTAAAATTTGCACGGGGATTTACCCTGGGGCAAAGGGCGTGGTCTCAAGGTCACTTCAAAGTTGACCAAAAATTACGTTTTATTAAAATGTTGATATTTTGCTTACTATAAGGACTAGGATCATCAAATCTTGTCAGTTGATGCATCTAAGGACTTCAAATCATGTTGACTCAAAAGTAGGTCACGATGACCTACTTTTCAAATTTTGCGGCCATTCTTTTTTCAAAATGATTTAGAGGCATATTTTGAACAATTTAAGGCCTATGATCATCAAACTTTGTCAGTTAATGTATCTTGGGTCCTTGAAGTACGTCAACTTAAAAGTAGGTCACCTTGACCTACTTTTTAAATTTTATTGCTAATCTTTTTCAAAACAATTAAGGTCATTAATCGAATACCAAGAGGTTAAGAATCATTAAATCTTGTAAGCTGATGCATCTTGGGGCCATAAAACATATTTATTAAAAAGTAGGTCACAGTGACCTACTTTCTGAGCTTTGCAGGCATTCGATTTCAAAGCATTTTAGAGGCATAATTTGGACATTTTAAGGCCTATGATCATAAAACTTTGTCAGTTATGCATTTTGGGTCCTCAAAAAACATCAACTGAAAAGTAGGTCACTGTGACCTACTTTTCAATTTATATGACTATAATTAAATATTTCAGGTACTAATTGGCTTAGAATCATCAAACTTTGTCAGTTGATGCTGTTAGTTTACTTATGTATAACATGACAAGAGAAGTAACTCTAGTTTTTGCTTAACTTATCTCCCCCTAAGGGAGCTCTTCATCTTGTAAAGTTAGTTTGAGTGTATGATGCTGAATAAAGCACATGTCTAACAATGGTAGCAGAGCGTGGTTGAAAGAAAATTTTGGATACTAAGTGCCAAAAACAGTGTAAGCAAGTGTGTGACTTTTTATAGCAAATTCAAAATTTGGTGCATGTGAAAAAAAAAAGTGTGATCCTAGCGAACAGAGATAATGTCAACAAATATCAACCCCCCTTCTTACAACCCTAAAATCAAAAGTTATGAGCTCTACAAGCAAGAACTCTTAGCATGGAAAGAAGTCACAGAGTTAGATGAAAAGAAACAAGGTGTTGCTATTGCTCTGTCTCTTCCTGAAAATGATGAGTCCCAGATACGAGAAAAAGTGTTTGATCAGCTGAAATTGGAGGATCTCAAAAAAGACACAGGTTTGAAAACATTGATAAAATTTTTGGACAAGCATTTAGCCAAAGATGACTTGGCAGACAGCTTAGAAAAATTTGAAGATTTTAAAAGATCTGATGGACAGTCTATCAATGAATACATATCCATTTTTGATGCAAAATACAGAAAAATTGAAAAGAAAAATATGAAGTTACCCCCAGAGATTTTGGCATTCAAATTACTCAGAAGGTCATTGATAAGCAAAGAAGAAAGGATGATTGTCTTGACAGGAATGAATTTTGAGGACAAAGAAACTTTATATGAAGAAGCTAAGAAATCCCTTAAAAAATTCAAAGGTGAAACGTGTGAAGGAAATGCCCCTACCAAACCAGTATCCATTAAACTTGAACCAGCATTCCTTGCTGAAAATGAAGAAGCGCTGATGGCAGCTGGATACACTAGAAT